GCCAATGTACGCGCAGGCACGGCTCCTGCCGTGTGATTGGCAGAGTAGCCAGCCAATCAGCGCCGCCGCTCTGCACCGGGCAGGGCCCCAGCCAATGGGTGCTGCCGGAGGGCGGGCACTCCTTAGAGCCCCGCCCTGGAACAGCCCCGCCCACCCGGGACGGACTATAACGGGACGCGGGGGGAGGACGGCGTTGGGCTGTTCCACAGCGCGGGTGGCGGGCGGTTCCACTGCTCTCCCGTGAGGGGGGTCGGGCCGTTCCACAGCGCTTCCGGGGGGGGCCGGGCTGTGCCATAAAGCTGCTGGGGAGGCGGGATGTACCATAACGCCCCGGGGGGGTCGGGCCGTGCCCCTATCCCAGCAGACCCACACACGGTTCCTTCACCAACAGCCTTTAATCAGCTCCACAGCACCAGGACACACCAGGTGCGGGGACCCCCTTCCACCCCAAGGCCCACCCTCGGTCCCCAGCCCTCCGAGTCCATGTGGGGGGCTGGAGCCTCCTGTTCCAGTCTGCTGTGTCCACGTGGAGCATCCGGAGCCCCCCATGTCCAAGGCAGAAGGTTCTCAGCCCCCCGTTCTGACCCTCTGTGTCCATGTGGAGGGGTTGGAGCCCCCCATAGTCCCCCAGGTCTGCGGCACAGGGCTTGGAGCCTCCTCTTCCGGTCTTCTGTGTCCAGGTGGAGAATCCAGAGCTCCCTGGAACCTGCCTGTGTCCATGCTGAGGGTGGTTCCCCCCCTTCCAGCCCTGTGTGTCCGTGGGGTGGGTGCACAGCCCCCCCAGGGGGTGACCCGAGGGCTGCAGTGGCTGCAGGCCCTGGTGGTGCCACCCCAGGCTGCCACGGGCGGGCTGTCCCACAGGCAGGATCCACAGCCCCCCTGCTGCCGTCCGCTGTCCACGGGGAGGCTCCAGGGCCCCCTGCGGCCCCCCAGGGCTCAGCCCGGGGTCTGCAGCAGCTGCAGGTTGCGCTGGTAGCAGCCCAGGCTGCAGAGGGGCCGCCCGGTGCGGGCGCAGCGGTAGCGCCGGGCGTTGGTGCAGCCGGGCACGGCGCAGGGCTGGGCGGGGGGCACCGGGGGGGCCGTGGCGGGGGGCAGGGGCAGGGGCAGCCCCGGGGGGAAGGACAGGGTGACGCCCTGGGCAGAGCTGTGGTAGTGCACGACGGGGCAGGGCGCGGGGCGGGCGCGGCGCTCGCGCAGGGCCCTCACCTTGGCCTTGTGCGTGCGCGTGAGGCGCTCGATGGTCTGGTTCTTGCTCTCCTCGGCCTTGCGGGCCGCCTGCAGCCGCCGGCGCCGCGCCCGCTCCTCCCGCTTCTCCCGCATCTCCTCCGTCACCTCCTTGGCCTTGGCGCCCATGGGCAGCTGCAGCAGGGGCTGGCTCTGCTGCTTGTGCAGGAGGGCGCGCTGGGGGGCACGGGGCGTCAGGAGGGGCCCTCGAGGGCTCCAGCCGGGACCCCCGCACAGCTCCCTGAGGGCTCCAGCCCAGCCCCACACCAGTTCTGGGGTCCCTGCAGCCCCCCCGCAGCCCCCCAGCCCTGTCCCTGGTGTCTCCACGCCCCCCCCAGTCCCTCCTCAGTGGCTCCGTGCCCTCCCCAGGCCCCCCTCAGCCCTGTCCCAGCACCCCTCAGGGGCTCCACAGCCCCCCCACCTCTCTCAGCTCCATCACAAAGGCTCCCTGCCCCTCCCAGTTACCCTCACTCCTGTCCCAGCAGCTTCACAATACCCACACCCCCAGCCCAGCCCCCCAGTAGTTCCAGGCCCCCAAAACACCCCAGAGCACCCCAGCCCTGCCCCAGCCCCCCCTGACCTGCCGGGCCGTCAGCAGGGACTCGTCCACCTCCCTCTTGATGTCCCCGTTGTCGTCCAGCTCCCCCCGCTCGAGGGCTGCGAGCCAGCGCCGCTCCTCCTCTTCCTCCTCCTCCTCTTCCTCCTCCTCCTCCTCCCCCTCCTCGCGGGAGGGGAAGCAGCTCTCGGGGTCCAGCTCGGGCAGAGGGGAGGGGGCTAGGTTGCTGTCCTCATCTGGGGGGGTGAGGGGGGGACAGTCACACAGGTAGGGGGTCATCCCATGCCAGGGTCACACCTTCCCCAAGCCACGACCATCCAGACCATCCGGGGGGGTCCCCGACATCCCCCCCTCACACCTCAGCCCCCCCAGGGGCTGCCCCTGCCCTCCCCCAGCCCACCCCCCGCGAGCCCCTCCCAGCCCCCCTGTGCCCCCCGTGCTCACCCAGCCAGGCCCGGTACTGCTCGATGGGGACCCCCTCGCTGGGCTCTTCCTCGTCCCCCCCCAGCAGCGGGGAGGGGGAGCGCGGCCCCTCGGGGACCACCGTGAACGTGGGAACACTGCAAGGGGAGAGAGGAATTTGGGGGGGCCGGGGAGGGGGGAACACGCCAACGATCCCGGCCCAGCCCCCTGCTCCTCGCCCCACCCCTCGGTGCCCAGGACCTGCCCCCTGAAACCCCCGGGCCCCCCGAGCCCCCCCAGCCATCCCCTCCGCCCCCACCTCTTGGTGCCCAGGATCTGCCCCCCCAGCTTGATGCGGAGCCGCAGCCGGGGCTGCCGGGGGGGTTCGGGGCCCGGAGACGGCCCCGCCTCGTGGTGGTGCCGCTTCTTGTGCTTCTTCTTGTGCTTCTTGTGCTTCTTCTTGTGGCCGCCATGGCCGCCCGCCTCGACCTCCTGCCCTGGGGGGGGACACGGGGTCAGCGCGGGGCCCCCGCGGGCCCTGCCCGACCGGGAGCGGCCCCGCAGCCGCCCGATGTCCCCCCGGGCCCCCCCGAGCCCCCCGGCCCTCACCGTGCCCGGCCTCCATCGCGCCGCGCCAGGCCCTGCGCATCCAACCGCGGGGGACACGATCCGCGGCGGACCCGCTTCCGCCCGCACCGCTCGTCACCGGCGGGGGAGACGCCAACGCCGCCATGTTTGAAGTGGGCACGCGGTGCTCGGTCCGGGGGGAAACCGCG